ATTTAAATATTGAAAATGAGTAATACACTAACTGAAGAACAACCACATTTAATATCCTGACGGTTCAAAAAAAGCGACGAGGTAAAGAACCGTAAAGAAACCCTCGAAGGAGCTTATATATCGCTCACCTAAAAAAATTAATTACATATTTACATTAACATAAAAAAATTTTATAACTTATTCTTCAGAACTCGGACTTACATCTGTGGTTGCATTCATGTAATGCTCCGATTCGAGTTGGTACGATGACTCTTGAGCCCAACGTCTTGCCAAGAGCCAATCTTGGTTGCAAACCAGTGTTTCAAGAGATTCAGCGTTAAGACAACTTCGGTAGTCGGTTAGAATGTTGCCGCCAGCACTGAATTCTCGTTCAACTGCTACGGTTGATACTGGGACGGACAACACTTGTCTTGCTAGCATGCCGAGACATGGGAACATGTGTTCGTTCCGCTTCCACCATCCGAGCACGTTAAAATCGACATCGTCGTCATCGTAATCGCATGGCACACCCTGGTACATAGCAAGTTCGTTGTGCGAGCTTACTGTTGTACCACTTGAACTCGTCGAAGACTGGGCACGTTTCCCTTTCTTTGCAAGAAGGCCACCGACTATGCCGGCAAAACCTTTTTTTGATTTCGGGGGCGGAGGTGGTGCTGTTTCTTCAAAAAGAGTTATAGCATTATCTCTTTCATTTTTCTATTCTACTAAATAGCTGTAGTAATAACTATTTTTATCTAAAAAACAACTGTAGTAATACTCAATTAGAATTTTAAAATTTCCAATCTTAAACCGTGGATCACAAATAATACCTATTTTATAAATATCAGGAATGTACAAATAATAAGTACACCATTTATCTCTCATAGGAGAGACATAAGGGTACAAATCTGGATCACCCATACTTTCACGAAAACATGTTGCGATTGTAATGCACTCTTTAAAAAATGTATTTGTAGTTAGTTGGTAAACATGAGAAAAAGTAAGAGTTGCGTTATTAAAAACTTCTAATACGGCATTCAATTTTTCAACAATAACAAATTCAAAACATGACAGGCACACCGTTGATGCAGAAATCTACCCATAGTCGTAGACGGTGGGAAAATTTCTCTAAGTCTAGGAATAGTAGCAGTATTATTAGTAGCATTATCAAAACCAAATGAAAAAACTTTTTCAGATAAGTTATATTCCCGCAGAATACTCTGAAGCAATAGGAAAATATTTTCAGCAGTATGCTGATCATTGAAATCACGAAATGCAAGAACACGTTTATGCATAATCCAATCACTATCTATCCAATGACAAGTAACACCCATATAAGACAAA